GGCTCTATCACGTCGATGTTTCTCTCTGTCTCTGTCTCTCTCTCTCTCTCTCTGGCTCCCTCCCTCCCACTCTATCTGATGATAAATATAAAAACATCCTCAGGTGAGGAATAAAAAAAATAATAATAAAAAAAGAATCATTTAGAATCTAAATCTCAAAATCTAAATGTAACATTCCTACCACCAACTTTCTCCCCAAGTACTACGTTCTAAAAACACATGGCCCTCACTATGACAAAAATGACAAAAGCTGAGTGGTATAGAATACCAATTAGGAACTCCCCCGACAAATATCAACCTTGTCCCAGGCACTTTGATGTTAATTCCACATTTGCTTTATACTTTTTGCATTAAGACGTGAATCAAAGTTGAAAAGCTTAATCTAGGCCTTATGACTAACAAACTACAAAATCACAAGCAGCACTCAATGATTTAGTACATGCTCATGAAGGAATCTATAGAAAAGAGACCCTTGCAAACAGTAAAAGTCTTAAAACATTCCAAACAAATCTCTTAATATAACCTGCTTTTTATGAGCTTATAATGTTTGTATCTATAATTCTGAGAGAAAAAAATGGAGAAAGATTAGGAAATAAATGATTTCATTTGTATTTTAAAATAATGTCCACTACTAGATTTTGGCCTTTTTTCTGGGGTTGTTTTTGCAACCCCTTTAAATATCACTATTATATTTAAATTATTAACTATCATAATAATTTCTATTTAATAATATCATAAATCTGTAATACCTACCATTCCTCAGAAATTAAAAAGTGTTTGTTTTTAATTCTGCTCTGTCTAGAGTGGGGATTGAAAATTCAAGAGTATATGTACCTAACTCTTTTTTTGGGCCAACAATTATTTTATTTTTCTTTACTGATTTTTAAAGAGAGAGGGAGAAAGAAACATTGATGAGAGAGAACAATGACTGGCTGCCTCCTGCATGCTCCCCACTGGGGATTTGGCCCACAACCTGGGCATGTGCCCTAACCCTGAATGAACAGGTGACCTCTAGGTGCATGGGTCAATGCTCAACCACTGAACCACACCAGCCAGACAGGGCCAGCAACTGTTTTAATAAAGTTCATTTCAAAGACTGACAACTCATCTAGTATGGTAATATGTTAGATCTGTATGTAGGTCACTATAAAAGCTCTTATACCCTGGCCTGTTTGGCTCAGCAGTTAGAGCATCAGCCCGAAGACCAAAGAGATGCGGGTTCAATTCCGGTCAAGGGCACATACCTCACTTTTGGTTTGGTCCCTGGCCCTGGTTGGGGTTGTGCGGGAGGCAACCAGTCTGATGTGTCTCTCACATTGATGTTTCTTTCTCTCTCTCTCTCCTCTCTCCTCCTCACACTCTATCTGAAGATAAATGGAAAAATGTCCTTGGGTGAGGAATTAAATAAAAGATAAAAGTAGCTTTTATTTTATTATTAAAATGTTTTTATTTTAGAGAAAGAGGGAAGGAGAGAGAGAGAAACATCAATGTGAAAAAGAAACATCTATCAGTTGCCTCCTGTACGCAGCCTGACGGGATCAAATCCACAACTTGGGCATGTGTCCTGACCTGTAATGAAACCCACAACCTTGCACTGCATGGGAGGACACTCAATCAACTGAGCCACACCAGTCAGGGCTAAAAAACAGCTTTGGAACGGTGCCATTTTAAACTGACAAACAATGCATATCCTAAAAAAGACTTCCTGAAGTAGGTTCCCTGGTCCCATGTTCAATACCTCACTGCCTTGGCTAAATGACAACTTGTTCAAATTGCACTGCTGCACTAGAGGTTTGGAGATATGATTATTAATGAAGCAGATTAACTTCTGACTTACTCTACTTTCAATTTACTCTAGGTAGAAGAAAAATGAAGTTAGTTCATTGAGGGAATGGAGTGGGATGATAGCCTATAAGTACTTAAAGCCCATTTAGTAAGTTAAGAAGTACAGCCCTGGCCGGTTTGGCTCAGCGGTTAGAGCGTCGACCTGCGGTCCTGAGAGACCCAGGTTCGGTTCCCGCTAAGGGCGCGTACCTCGGTTGCAGTTTGTCCCCGGCCCTGGTCGGTCGTGCGGGTGGCAGCCACTCGATGTTTTCCTTTCACATCAATGTTTCTCTCTCTCTCTCTGTTCCTCTCTCTCCCTCTGTTCCTCTCTCTCCCTCCCACTCTACCTGAACAAAAAAAAAAGGGAAAATGTCCTCGGGTGAGGATAAAAAAAAAAAAGTACAAAAAAGTTATAGGAGAAATACTGTTTTGGAAGTAAAAGTTATACTACTGAAGTTAGAGGTCATCTAATCCAATCACTCAAATTTTACAAATCCTCTTTGCAATGTAATTCTCCCAGTCGATGGTTGAAGATGGCCCATGCTTGTTACTGGCCACTTCTCCGGGCAGATCATTCTCCATCTTTAGAGATTTAACCGGTAGGAAGTTGAGGTCATCCTGAAACTTACCTTTAGTGTTGTAAGAAGTTCCTTCCAGACAGAGCTTTTAAAATATGAAAGCTATAATGACCCAAATATTTTCAAGCTAAATACCTAGCTCCTTCAGCTACTCTTCATGATGGTTTTACATTTTGGGTTCTACTCTGTAGATGTACCACGTCATGCTGGTATTGTTCTTAAAGCACAGGAGATGGAAAATAACATTCCAAGTAGGGAATAACTAGCCCCATACAACAGTAGCATCACTGCGCTTGTTCCAGATATCTTACTTCTAATAAAACATCCTTAGAGTATAACTATTTGATAGCCACATTCTATTGACTCACTTGGAGCTTTCTACTCAATAAAAATGTTTATTTCTACTGCTTAAGCCATACACTCCAAAAGCTCTTTTCATTGCATCCTTTTTTTAATTCTCACCTGAGGATATTTTTCCACTGATTTTTAGATAGAGTGGAAGAGAGGGAGGAGGGGGAAGAGAGAGGGAGGGGACAGGGAGAGAGATGTGAGAGAGATATATCGATTAGTTATGTCTCGCACAACCCCAAAAGGGGCCAGGGATTGAACCTGCAACTCAGGTATGTGCCCTTGACTGGGAATTGAACCTGTGCCTCTTTGGTTCTCAGGCCAATGCTCTAAATCCTAAGCCAAGCTGGCCAGGGCTCAATGTATCCTTTATCCAAGGACATAAGAACTTGTTTAATAACTTACTGAAATACACATGTACTTTACAATAGTTTCTAACTTACTTTTCTAATAACCATGAAGAATGAAACTTTAACAAGATTTGTTATCCCGTCCATACCGGGTCACCATGATACTTTCTAGGTTCTTACACCTGCTTTTTGTTATTTGGGACTCTTATCTAAAAGCTAATCTATTTTATTTATCTTATACTTAATCTTATATAGTCCTTTTCTCTTCTTAAAGGTGCGAATGACACTTAGCTACCACTAAGTTTCTATTACCTTTTATTTTGGAAAGAAAAGTTCAACTATCATATCTTTAAGTTGCCAACACTGAACCATTTAATTCCATCCAAAAAAACTATTTAGGACATAATTTTAGTCTTCTCATGCATATTGAATTTAGACTCTTTTTTACTAACATTCATTTAAGACAAAGGTCTCTTTCATTAAAAAAAAAAAAAAAAGGCCAAATAAACACTAAGGTACTGTGAGATTTGAGTTAACATTATACCAAATTCAGGCCTACACCTTGGTATGTCTCACTCCCTGAAACTGTAAAAATTTAATAACCCTTAGTTCGTTTAGTGTTTAAAGTTTCTTACCCTATTCTATTGCTATGCCATTCTGTATAATACTTTTTGCCCAACAAGAATTCCTTTATTGACCAGAATCAGATCCCAGGTAGTTTTCCTAGTTATTTCTCCTATTCTTCAAGAAATAAATCTCAAAGCAAACCAAGAACTCTACTTGTTGACAGCAGATAACACAGATAGCTAAAGTCCCCCACCACTACAGTTTCTTGCCTCTTTGCTATGACACTCAGGAACCCAGAGACTGATTACTAAGAACACACAAATCATTCCAGTCTTGATTTACCAATCTTGTCAGTCCTGGCCAATCTCAGATGTTAATACTCATTCTGGTTGTTGGCTCTATTACCATCTACTACGGTAAAAAGCAGGATGATAGCTCATTTGAAATAAGCCATGTTTTCAAGCTAGTCACACCATTTAAGAAGTATCAGAAAAGTATAGACTAAGTAAAAAAGTATTGACCCCTTTTCACGTATCCTGAAAATCTGAGCTAACACCAAAGTCTTTTATACCATTTTGTGGTAGGGGGGAAAAAAAATCACAACCACTTTAGGATCTTGAACTCTCACACTTCATAAGAATTTGGTAGAATATTATGCATACATATTAAGGTGTCACATGAGTGAGAACTTAAGTTAAAGAGTGTTGAATAAATACTAAATTTATCACAATAGTAACTTTTATACTAGAATTTTGAAAATAGGTGAAGAAAATTCAGTGTTAGAATCAAGGTAAGTTCTAATACTCTCTTAATATGAACATTTAAAAAACATTTAGTTGGGGGAGGAATACTGGGGAGTTACTGCTGGGTAAGGGGTTTGGGGAGGTGGAGGAGATAAAGATGTCCTAAAATTAGTTTGTGGTAATGCACAATCCTGTGAAAACCAATGAATTGTATCCTTTAAATGGATAAATTGTACATGAATTATCTCAATAATAAGCTGTTAAAAAAAATGTTTCAACCTCATTCTAATAGCTATTATACTATGTTATTATTATACACTTTCTAAAATATATATCAAAAACCTTATAGAGAAACCCTTACATACTAAATTAAGCCAGATATTAGGCTACCGAAAACCACCACTTAGGAGCCAGAGATAACTGAGCGTTAAGGAGCCCTTATTATATGACAACCATTAAACAAACGGTAACAGACTGAACAGATCCCCAAATGATTTCTTCAAAAAGACTATTATTTGAAAATCATCTTGATATGGAAGGCTTTGCTTCTATAAACAAAACATGAAGTCCTCAATAGCATGAGCACTTACTCATCATACTCGATATGATAAATAACGTCTTCACCAGCAGCAACAGAGTCTGAATTAGACGTAGAGGGTACATTGTCCAATTTATTTGTGTTCTCTTTGGAATTATGATTTATATTTCCACTAGTCCTTTTACAAGAACTGCCATTCTTCAAGGGAGTTTTGCCACGTGAATGTTCATCAGAAGCTCTAGTAACTTTATGTATACGTGCTTCAAACCAAGCACCAAGGCCGACATCTCTGGCATCCACCAATTCATTTACCTAAAAAAGTTTAAAATTAGTTAATGAAGTTTAATTTCATCTATTGCTTCAAAAACTTTAATATAACTGAGGTTATTTTTATGGTTATCACAGTTAATATCTGCAGCTACTCGTGCTTCAAGAAATTTCAAAGATTAGATCAAAACTATTATTTTTGTATTATACTATAAATCTGTTGTTTACTAGTATGAAAATCAACTTTTCTCCAGTAAAATGAGTGTTTTCTTTAACTACATCTATGTCTACATTTGGCTTTTAAAAATATAATTATGTTCCCAAGGGTGTTCTGGAAAGTCATTCAATAAGAATGTCACTAATGAGCCCCAGCTGGGTGGCTCAGTTGGTTGGAGCGTTGTCCTGTACACCAAAAAGGTTGTGTGCTCAATCTCCTAGTCAAGGGGTGTACTGGTGGCAACCGATCAATGTTTCTCTCTCTCTCTTTCTCCCCCCCTATCCTCCCTAAGTCAATAAACATATCCTTAGGTGAGGATTAAAAAAAGAAAGAAAAGAGCCCTGGCTGGTTTGGCTCAACAGTGAGTGTCAGCCCACGGACCAGAGAGACCGGGTTCGGTTTCCGCTAAGGACACGTACTTGGTTGCAGTTTGTCCCTGGCCCTGTTGGGGTTGTGTGAATGGTTACCAGTTGATGTTTCTCTCTCTCTCTCTCTCTTCCTCCCTTCTCTATCTGAATATGAATGCAAAAATGTCCTCGGGTGAGGATTTAAAAAAAAAAGAAAGAAAAATGTCACTAATGAAAAGTCAGGACTTTCAAGTGTTATGATTGTTATTAATTTGTTCCATTAATTTCTTCAGATTCCTAAAGATAACTTACACAGCCAGTCCAAGCAGAAAACAGTAAAGTATTGAACTGAAAATAAAACTCAAAAATGAGGAAACTGTGCACATGTACAAATGGAAGAATATATATAAAATGGGTAACTTCTACCAGTTAGCAACTCTCTAGCAAATGCATTATTTAGTACCTCAAAATACAAAGGTACAATATAAAGAGAACATAGCTATTTGATATAAAACAGATGTATGTAGTCTAGTGGATGATCTAGAACTAAACTATGCAATGCAATAAAAGGAAAAACAGTATACTAGAAGTTAAGAGTTAGAATATGAAAGCTGATTATTTAAAAATAAAACAAATCCTCTCCTAAAAAATCTTAGGAAATTGGTCTAAAGCAATAACCAAAAGACATCCCTTTAATTTTTTTGTAAGCCCTTAAAAAGAAAATAATGGCATCACCAATACCAGATCATCACCTAATCAAGTTAGTGCTTCCTGAGTATGTAAGAGACCACTTAAGGTATCCAAAAGAATTCTGACAAATGGGGCAGGGGTAAGGGGGTAGTCAGTATATACTAAAAGTTAAATATTCATATGCCAGGATCTTTTACTTAGGCTCGTCTAACTCTAACAACCTTAATAATGAATAATTCTTATTTTACAAGATAAGAAAACAAAGGCTGACAAGTTAACTTGCTCCAGGGAAAGCTAATGATATGTAAAGCTAGAATTTGAAGACATCTTGACTCTGAAGCTTATGTTTTTGCCCTAAGATGACAAGATAGGTAAATGGGAACTTCAAAGGTTAACTAATAAACTAAGAAATAAAGTATTAAAAATATAAAATAGTTTCAAACCACCAAGCTAATATAGACGGTAGAGGGAATACAGACAATACCAAAAATGATTAACTATCACTACCAAGAGAAGGTACTACATTTGACCAAAGACACTGTATGCATGTAGTAACATGGCAGCAATAAAACATCTTGAAAGACATATGGTTCAATGTAACATAAGAATGAAGAGTTTAGCCCTGGCCAGTTTGGCTCAGCGGTTAGAGCGTTGGCCTGCGGTCTGGAGAGACCGGGTTCAGATCCCACTAAAGGCATGTCCCTCGGTTGCAGTTTGTCCCCGGCCCTGGTTGGGTTGTGTGGGTGGCAGCCACTCAATGTGTCTCTTTCACATCGATGTTTCTCTCTCTCTCTCTCACTCCCACTCTATCTGAACAAAAAATGGAAAAATGTCCTCGGGTGAGGATAAAAAAAAAAAAAGAAGAAGTAGAAGAGTTTAGGAGAAAAGGAAAAGACCTAAGGGCCAACCAGGCTAGATATAACAAAGATCAGAGATGGAACACAGTATATGTTACATAAACTAATTTCTTACAGGCAACACTAACTAGACAAAAAATAATCAATGTTAAGATCTATCAGACTTGGGAGAATAAACGGAGTCTACTACTCTTTCACAGCAAATAAAAATGTAAGAGGTTTCATACTGCACTACACTATTATTCTTGGACAGAATGGAGCATATAGTTGATACTAAAAGAGTCACAGCAAAAACAGATTTAGCAAAATAAACCTTACTATGGAAAAGTATGAGGTGCAAATAAAATACTTAATTTGCATATCAAAAATAGAAACTAGCATGCAGATCTAGTGTCTGGATACCTTAGTATGCGGCAATACAATCGGGGTTAACAGAATCCTAAGTCAATCTAAAAATAGTGCCACTGCTGAAATATCACACATAACAGAACTTACTAGCTCATAAAGGTAAGGCATTCTTTGAGTAACCCTAGATTTATAACTGGAAAAAAGAACTACAAATTCTCCCTATTAAGTATAATTACTCACTAATGATATGCATATAAACTACACAGGAAAAATGCTTTTAAATTCAAAAGTCAAGCCCTGGACGGTTTTGCTCAGTGGTTAGAGCTTAAGCCTGCGGTCCAGAGACATGCGGGTTCGGTTCCTGCTAAGGGCATGTAATTCAGTTGCAGTTTGTCCCCGGCCTGGTTGGGTTGTGCGGGTGGCAACCACTTGATGTGTCCCTTTCATGTCGATCTCTCTCTCTCTCTCTCTCCCTCCCACTCTATCTGAACAAAAAATGTACTCGGGTGAAGATTAAAAAAAATAAATAAATAAAAATAAATTCAAAAGTCAAGTTTCTGCATATTACATAAACATATTAGTTAGGTCTGCAAGAGGTTAAAGCTCTTTTGTAAAGCCTTGATTCTGAAGATGGTTCAGAAGAGAATACACCACCAAGAAGTCAACCCTAATGTAAACTATGGACTTTGGGTGATGCTCTTTCAATGTAGGTACATCAGTTCTAACAAATGTACCACTCTGGTAGGGGATGTTGATAATGAGAAAGGCCATGCATGTGTGAAGGTAGAGGGTGTATATGGGAAATCTCTGTACTTCCCACTCAATTTTGCTATGAACATACAACTGTTCTAAAATGTAAATTCTACTACCCTGGCTAGGTAGCTCAGGGGGTTAGATCGTCATCTCGATATGCCAAGGTTGTGGGTTCAATCACCAGTTAGGGCACATACAAGAATCAACCTATGATAAATAAATAACTGGAACAAATCAATGTTTCTCTCCACCCCCTTCCTCTAAAATCAATAAATAAAAATGTAAAAATAAACAAACAAAAGAAAATGTAAAGTCTATTTAAAACAAAACAACTAAAAAGAAGCCAGAAGAGAGCAATAAAAAAGCAAACAGGATGACAAAGAGGAAAATAAAATGTGTTTTTGTATGTGGTGGGGAAATGTGCACCCATGGACTTTATTTTATGGACATGTAACTGATAAGATGGAGAGACTAAGGCCACTGGAAGAACTACTTAAACTTCCCAAGAGAGAAGACAGCACTCCATGCAGGGCCACAAGAGGGAAGCACCAGATATGGTCAGAAGGAGCATAGAAAGCATGGCTCAGAGACTATTGTGGTTTCCACGTAAAAAGCAAGGCAGGGCAGGGCAGGGGAAATTGTTTACTATTGGCTAATCTGAATAACACTGGTAGGCTCTAGGCCAGGGGTTCTCAACCTGTGGATTGCGACTCCTTTAGGGGGTCGAAGGACCCTTTCACAGGGTTGCCTAAGATATAACAGTAGCAAAATTAGTTATGAAATAGCAACAAAAATAATTTTATGGTTGGGGGTCACCACAACATGAGGAACTGTATTAAAGGGTCGCAGCATCAGGAAGGTTGAGAACCACTGCTCTAGGCTATAGGGGTGGTCTCTAGTTGTCACCTGACCCTGGGTGATAAGAGCATATGAATATTGGTTGGTAAGTAAGAGTTCTATAAAGAAGGTGGCTGGGACTGTGGACTGTGGACTGGTTCCTTTGTAATGAAAGGCGGGCTCACTGACAAGTTACTTACTACCTCTTCCTGGCTAGCCTAAAAGAGGGAGTCTATCCTCAGTCAGTGAGCACTCCCCACCCCAAAGATGTCAAAATATCAGAAAGGAGGGAAAAAAACCACAGAATTCATGCGGGACAGGTGTTTGAGCTGAAAAGCCATAAGTTAAAAAGAAAAAGAAAAAGAAAAACCCAATCTCATAAACCTAAGCTCTAGAACTGAATTTCTTCATGTCAAAATACAGACACTACTTAGAAAAGAGTCTTCCATGTCCAAGTATTTGAGAGATATATATCTATAGATAGATAGATAGATAGATAGATAGATAGATAGATAGATAGATAATCTGAAACACAGAGAAAAATATACCAATAGCAAATATCTGAGGATGTACTATATATATGCTGGGTATACTTCTGGGGGTGGGGGGCATACTTCTAAGCACTTTATATGTTGTGTGAAAAACATACCAGCTCTGCAGATAAACCTGGATTTAAGTCCTTGTCTATCACCTACAAGGTTAACCTTGAACAAGTTACTTAAGCTGTTCTTAACCCGAGCTTCTTCATAAAATACATACTTAGCAGTATATTATTAGGTGACAATATCTATACAATGTGCCAATTTAGCAAGCACATAGTAGGCACAAATAAAATAACTTCTTCCTTCTTCCAAGTATCAATATGTTCAATGCTAAGTAAGACTCACTAAAAAAGAGTATAGGCTGGTGTTGTTCAGTGATTAGAGCACTGTCCCATGCACCAAAGTGTCACGGGTTCACTCCCTGGTGCTGTGTGAGGTAACCAACAGATGTTTC